GGGGCGAAAGCCTTCTTCCCTTTATAAAGTGACTTAGTCTAATCAAACAATTTTCAAAACAATTACATATACTACGCCAACGTGGCAAGTTTTTTCTGAAATTTTCTTTCTTCCATCAGAAATTTTGAAGCATAATTCAGTTTTCTTTGTTTTGTTTGATATCGATTTTGTTCAAACGTATGCAGGCAATGTGCAAGGCAGACATTAAAATAGTAGGGAAACGAATAAAGTTGATAACCTTTAACAATTTGAACCAGGAGGACTGTGATGGGTATTGTTTCAACGCTCAGGACTCGAATACCGAATACGTTGGCGGCTGATTTCGGCCGTCGGAGAATGGTAATTTTACCTCTTTCTTTTTATCCTGCATTTGGGTAACGTAGCAGCTCTATGGAAAAGATTATCCTTATTATTCTTTCATGACAATTAATTTATTTACATTAAAAGACCTACTTGGTTTTGTAGGTACCCCACGGTGCGTTTTTTCAGGGTCCTAGGACAACTTTATGGGCCCATAATTTTCAAGTTTTACCACATGACCCTTTTTGACTATTTAGTTTTTAGCCTATAATTTATGTCAACTTTATTTAATTGGTGGTGTTTACCGTAGAAGAGGATTTCTTTACTGCATTTCCAGGGGCTACTTAAGGATTTAGGTCGTAAATCTTAAATCCCAGATATCCGAACCGCACTTTTATTTCTGGTATTTTTAATCGTGTTTGTCTATTGCATTACAATCCAGTGTTCCATCCTGAATGGCAGTTCGTTTTTGTAGGCGTTTCACTGTAACTCGGTTCTAGAACCGACCATGACCATTTTGTAGGACGGCTAACCATGAGTTTCGTCTGTTGTAATTATAACAGAGGAAAGGTGTGGTTATCCATCGGTTAGGCTGACTGAAATTCTAATGTTTGGCATTAGGAGTCTCTACAATTGGAAATCTTTCGGTGAAAGCCCGTCCCGCATGCATTTAGATATTCATGATTAAAACTATGACTTAAATTTAACCGGAAGTGGTCTAGCTCAACGGCAGTTCTTAACTTTCTGACCGGGGTTGGGATATAACTGGCTACGGCTAGCATACAAGTCATAAACGCTCGTTTCAGGTGTCATTGTGTTTTCTGGAATCTCTTCCCGAACATAACTTTTTTGCGTGAATGATCCGACGGGCGGGTTTAGTAAGGTATACTGGGACGATTTTTATCAAAAAACTTACTGAAGGCTCTGGACAGCAAATGTAGGCAGCGCACATCATCTTCCTAGCACATCATAGCCATTTATCAAATAATTGTGCACTCTCATCACTTTCGAAAATCCAATTGATGTTATCAAAAATCGTCAAAATTGAATTCGCGTGCGCGTTGTTTGGTTTCATATTTTTGCAAAATCAGCGAAGGAATAAAAGTGACAATATCAACAAAAGATTTTTTCATCGATATCTCAAGGGTTGTTCTTCCTAACTTCACGGAACAAGGCCACCGATTAGTTACAAGTGCTTAGACAATTTTAAGTTCTTCCTCTCGGTAGCTGTTGCCTTTCTACAATGATCTAAATCTTACTTTACATCTTCCACGTCGTCGTAGACATAATATGCAAACTATGCCTCTATGGTGCTTCAGCGTCAAATATTAGTGTTTGTCCAACTATATAACGAATTGACATCTATGTATTATATAGTTTCCCTTAAAAGTCCCGGCCGAATTCTCCAGATATTTAAGTCAGTCGACTTCACTTCCAAATTATCCTTTTCAGCCTCTCTCCGAAACCCAAAACGTCTCCACCGTAAGTCAGTGCATATTTTATTAATTCACATAATGTTCATTGCTCAAAGTTATTCGTGTATTTGTGCAGATAGTTATTTTTCCTGGAATAATGAAGTTGGGGACGTTGATTTTGCGTGCAATACTTTTTTTTAAACGTATTGTCACGAATCCATGGGCCACCCTGTTTCGAAGGACGATTACATACATGTTCTGCTAGTCGAATGGCTTTCGGACTTTTCACTTACGGGGCAGCTTACTAGGATTAGCATTTCAAGCTGTTTTGTGACTAGCAGGTATTGTAGCAAAGTTGTAATTGACTAGGTAAGGACATGACATAGACAAGGGAACTCGATTAAGGTATTCTGTTCCTTTCGTCCTCGGCAATGATTTGTTAAATGGGGTGCCCGGTTAGTGCCTGGAGCCTTCGTTTTCTGCTTAGCCAAACATTCTTCCAAATCTAAATCTCCCGCTTAACGGTGAGCACCATCATGCAAACAATTCGACAAGGCTGGAACGGCCGTGACTCCAGAGCACCACTCGGGGGCCTTTTGTCATTGTTTCGCTATGTAGTTCGAGGCCAATGAGTCCCATTTGTGACCCCGGCCTTAATCCTTATTTAATACACTACACCTTCTATTAACTTCTATTTCCGGTCCGTAAAAATGGTGCTGTGGTGGGGGTTTTGACCAGTGATGGTAGGAGTGCTTCGCCAACCAGTATTATAATATACATTTATTTGACAAAATAATAAACACAGTGCTACTGAAAATAAGAGGTAGCGTTCTTTATTACGAGAAAACAATCCTGACCCCACACCTCTCAAACAGTTTGTATTAGGTCACCGCGTAGCTGTCTGTAATCTGAAGGAAACAGGCCGAAGTTGGACAGTCGTGTCTCTTCTGACAGGTAGCCTTGGCTTCGTAATAGCTTGGTTGAGGGTCGTTGGACTCTTTCTAGAGTTTCGTTTTCTTGGCAGCCCACGGTCTCCAGACTTGGGTGGGAGATTTTGATTGCGGTCGCACGAACATCCCAAAGCCTGATGAGATTAAACACCAGCTGGGCGTTGCGGAGTTGGCCACCTTCAAGCTTGAGGAAGGATGTAATCCACACCTCTTAATACATGACTATACTTCTCTGGTGCTTCAGCGTTCAAGAAATCATCGAATTGATACCCATGCATTGTACAGTCTTCTATAAAACTTCCGCGCTGTTTCTTCGGATATTTAAGTCAGTCGACTTTCTTTTCCAATTATCCTCTTCAGCCGCTCACCGAAACCCAAAACGTCACCACCGTAAGTCCAATTTTTTTCACATGCCATAAATGTACTCAAAGAATGCCCCAAGGAAGCTCAAGTCATTTGTGCAGACGATTATTTTTAATGAAATAATGAAACTGGAGCCTTCGCTTTTGCGTGCGATAAGGTTTTTGCAAACGTATTGGTCACGAATGAATGGCCTATCCGATTTCAAAAGCCGATTATTTGCCTCTTCTGCTAGTCCGATGACTTTCAGATTTTTATCTGAAAAGACAGCTTACTAGGATAAGCCCTTCAAGCTGTTCTGTGGCTAGTATGCAATGTAGTAAAATCGTAACTGACTCGATAAGGACGTGACATAGACAAGGGAACTCGATTAAGGTAGTGTCCGCTTCGTCTTCGGCTAGGATCTGTCGGGCGGGATGCCCGGTTAGTGCCGGGAACCTTCATTTTCTGCTTCGCTAACCATTCGCCCAAATATTATCGTTTCGCCTTCCGATAAGCCTCATCAGGCAAACACTTTGACAAGGTTGGAAGGACTGTGACTCTAGAACACCACCCGAGGACATCTTTTGTCATTCAATTAACCTAATCGGGAAGTAGTCGGCGGCTTCGGTGGGATTCAAACTCACGGAAGCAAGGAAAGGCGTTATTACAGTCAGCGCTCCAACCAACTGAGCCATCGAGCCCCCCC